TTTTTTTTTTTTTTTTACATCTGATGCTATTTTTTGTTTAGTGGATCACATTTTACTTTGCTTCATGTTGTATTTTTATAATTCTTTCTTTTATATGTATTTGGGATCTTAAAAACCAACTTGTTATGGAAGCCTTTGATGACTATATTGTATTGAATCTGAAATGCAACTCTCTTGTTTGTGTTGAGTGCATTTTGACTAGGACGGACTGAGGCTTCACTTCACAATATCTTTTATATGTATTTCAGCACATTTTTTTTTTGATGATGAGAACTATCATTACCATTTTTAATATATCTTGGTAAATCGAAAATTAGTGTCTCTCTCTCTACATGAGTGTGCAACTTCCTGAATGATGATAACAATCATTTACAGTTATCCCTGTCTGATTAACTTTTGCTGAATGCTTGTAATCTGACATAGATGTTGCACTTACTCATACTTGATGATGTCTTTCCAATTTCATTTTGTTTAATTGATTTGTCTGAATGTTTTTTTATCCTCCATAACTCTTGCTTGTTATGTTTGCCATTTTTATCGATAGATATTTTCTAAACATTATAGATGTTTTCAAAAATTTGGCCTTTGAATGGCTAGACGACAGCTCTAGAAATTCTCCTTTGGTGAATTTGTTTTGGAAATTTCTTCTTTGATGAGATACTAATAATTGGTTAGAAATGGTTTGTGGTGACGAGACAAACATTTTATAACTTCCTGATGAAATCTGAATCCGGTTGAGAAGTTTGTGATTTGATGCAACGCCTTGCATTTAGTTTTGAGTGTTTTTTTTATTGTTAATTATGATTAATATAAGGGTGTTACTAAATAATGCCCTTATGATTATGTATCGTCTTCTTTTGGACCGTTTTAGTTTTACCCCTAACATTTTTTTAAACTCAAAAAATCGTAAATTCTCTAGAATTCTGCGATTACGGATGATTGTGACTACACACGGTGGTGATCCGGTCTATATTGTCGACTAACCCGGGTTATTTTCCTTTTAATTTTTTTTTTATTTTATTTATCATTGATCAAATTTTATTTATTATAGAAATTATGTTAGAATTTAGAAATTATCATGTTATAAATTTGAATTGATTATCTTATATAATTTATTATTATTATATTATTATGCTAGAATTAAAAAAATATTATGTTATAAATTAGAATTTGTTATTTTGTAAAATTATTTTTTATATTATTAATAAAATATTAATTTTTGCAAAAAGTATTAATTTAAAATATAAATATAAATTATTATATTTTCTTAATGTATATTTTTTTGTTAGTAGAGAATAATTATAAATGTTATATTATTTTCTTTATAGATCATCAGGTTTTTTAGAACCTTGTCGATGAGGTTTACGCTAGTGATATTCACCTCATTCACGCTCAACTTCACTCTCAACAAGAAGTTTTTGCAGAACATGCGGTAAAAGTAAATTCTAGAGGTTGAAAAAAGAAATAATAATAATTCAATCATGCGTCAACTATCCAAGTGGGAGTACATGGACATAGATCGTCCGCGGGGCGTACAAGCAGTTCTTTGTATACCTCGACAAATTTGTCTTCTGCCCCTTCGTAAAAGGCAACAGGTGAAATAGTTTTTCTTTTACCTGGATGCTAACTAAATTATTTATATAAACTCTATTATGTAAATTTTGTGGTGAATTATTTTGAATTTATGGAGATAAGGCAATTAGATATTTTTGCATTTGCGTCTCATATTACATAGAGAGCTACTTAGATTTTGTCTCAGGTTGCAACTGTGGATTTCACGTGCTCGTGGATTACGAGTATGGCGACCAAGAGAAATGTTCAGTGGAAACAAACTACATTGCAAATGAAGTTCAAACCTCTCGTGACATGTACTCTCTTATATATAATTTTATAGTGAGGTTGACATTATACTAAGAAAAATTAGATGGCAAGGGGGCTATGTTGGATTGAAGGGCCTAAATGGATTGAAGGCTATGTTGGAAAAGGGCCTTGGGAGCTTGGCTAGACGAACTTGTCTCGATTCTCTGGTCATATCGTACGACGCCAATGAGAGTAGGAGCTCGACAACGACCATCGCAGGGCAAAAGCCTGTTAGTTTCGTTTAAGCTCGTGGAACTCGACGACGACCGTTGTAGAGCAAAAGTCTATGAGTCTCGTATAAGCTCATGGAGTTGGCAACGACCATCGTAGGGCGATAGCTAGTCTCTCTTAAGCTCGCGAAGCTCGGCGCCTGACACATGTTTGTTACCTTAATTGATTTATTTTCTACATTTGTCATAATTCCAATATCATGTTACATGTATATTGAAATTAGCCTTTATTAATTGCGAATTATTATTTGAGATGTCATAAATCTAATTGTCATAAAAAAGAAGGGTTCATATCGTTTTTGAGAAAGTTGTTGTTTCTAGCAATTCTGGAGGCAAGAAGAAAATGTAGATTGGGAGGAAGAGTGGAACTGGAGATGGATTAGGTACTTAAGAAAGTGTTTTTGGCATGAGATGATTGGTAGTGATGTTTTGAAAAAAAGACAGTGATTGGCAGTTATATTGATGAATTGGATATATATTCTAAATTATAATAATATCCAATTCATCAATATAATTGAGAAGACAGTGGTTTATTTAAGAACAAAGCTTATTGAAACAATATATAAATATTAGTATTGAATGTTATTTTTTTTCTACTTTGAATGATTTGTCTTTCATTATATTGTTCTGATGTGACCAGTTTGTCTTTTGTTCAACATATGTCATAATGTAAACAAAAGCTTAAAACATGATTCTTATGTTCTGATGGTAAACAAAAGATGTTAAGAGTTATATTTTGAACAAAGCTTTGAAGCTACTTGTAATATTGGGTGTTGAATTCCGTTTTAGGCAAGCAAAATGCTTTAATGTAGTTGATCTCAGTTAACTTTATTGAAATCATCGTAGTTTGCTTAACATAGTTGTATCTCATGAATGACAAAATATATAAAATAAGAACAACAATAAAAACAGTACAACTACAAAATGAGACAAACATATATTCCATTAATTAACAGATTAAATACATCAACTAAATGTGATAAAACACCAAAAGAAATTATTCAAATCAAAATTTTAGGTCCCTGGACTTGTCCATGCTCTCCAAGCAAACTAAGAACAAAAAGCAGTACAACCACGTATAAGAAAAAACATAACAACAATCAATTTCCTTTCCAGTTCATGCATGAGGGCTAATGTATTTGCCAGAATCAACACAACTTCTTTATTATTCTAATTTTTTTCGCCACAAGATCATTAAGTTTGTGTTCAAACTCACTGGCCTCGTCCAAGAATTAATATTTTTCCACTGTCCTTTCATTGTACATTTTCTCCAAAGCAATCTTACATCTTTGTTCTTCCAAAGAATCATTCAGATATTTCAGTCGCAAAAAATTATGAAATTTGGAAATCCCGAAGTGCGGAATCAATCCACTCGAAAAAAACACAGTCATCCCCTTGCTACATTTTACGTGAGTAAGCACCAATCTTTTTTTTTTTTAAAAAAATCTAAATTTAATGGTGTTTTTGGTTTTTGTTAATCATAAGATTTAATTTGATAGTTTTATAACATGTAAGTCTCGAATTGTGAAAAAAAAATATTTCAGGCGCCGATTTGATAGTTTATCCGCTTTTCGAGCCTTGTATTGAAAAAACTCCTTATTTTATTACCTTTTTTTTTTATATTTTAATTAATTATTATTTTTTATATCACATAAATTTATATTACAATAACTAATTGATTATATTACAAAATTAAAGAAACCGTGGTTTTAACTTCTCCGTTTTTATTTATTGTACAAAATGAAAAGAGAGACGTGTTATTGACTTAAAATATTCTGTTCCCAAATCCCAAGACAGAGTACCAAATTCCGCTCGAGCGACGGAGAACTGCAATGGCAGCCATGGAAGGGGTGGCGATAATGGGAGCCCAAGACCAACAGCCGCCGCCAGTGAGGGTGGTGGAGCGGCTGAACCCGGCGGTTCAGCAGCAGCTCAACCTCGACTCGGTCAAGACTCGCGCAATCAGCCTCTTCAAAGCCATCTCTCGCATCCTCGACGAGTTCAACGCCATAGCCGCCACAAATGCTGTTCCAAAGTGGTAAATGAATTCAATTTTATCAATATGTTGTATTCACT